ATGTATTCTACTGCATGGATCATCGTGGAGATGACTGGATGTGTAGTTAACCTATACAACGAACGATAAGCAGTCGCCTGCCAACCTCCGTGTGTTTAGCGTTTTGACCAGCTGAACATCACCGCTCTACGAATTTGCGTGTCATCCTTGCCCAGAGGCCATGTTAATCTTCTCTGTATTGTTCCAATTTTAGTATATGTTCAGGAATGAACAGTGGGGTATAGCACAGTGGTAGTAATGCCCGTCATCACGAGCATGGTGCTAGTTCGAATATGCTCCGGGCCAACCAAGCCTCTCATTCCCCCGCGGTCGGAAAATTGGTACCGGACTTGTCTGGGAAAAAAGTCACTCTCTGCCATCTAACTGGGAACACTTCAGCCCAGCTATCCCAGGAATCCAGGCAAAAGTGATTCGATCAGCAATCTACCACACTCAAGATGAAATAAAAATCCTCGAGCAGCAACTGAAGCCACACGTTGAACGTTGGAAGATCTTCGTGGACAGTGGATGAGAGGAAACGAAGTGAATGTGAGAAGTGCTGGGTTCCGCACAGTAGACGTAAAGACGGGTCAAAAAAGACATCACGGCTATGAACCTGCAGATTGCGAACCAGTGGAAAATTGGTTTGTCCGGTGTCTGGATTTGGACTATTTACCACATGTGTACTGCGAAGCACCTCTAACCACCCCATTACACGCGAATGTTCAATAAGCATAGTGCTCAAACGTGAGAAATTTATGCACTTAGAAAGGCTATTCTTAAGGCGCGAATGGGACAATTGCAAGACATGCTGAGAATGGGGAAATCAACATCATCGTTTTGTGTGAAAGCCGTAGGTCAATTAAGGTAATCCAAACGAAACACCTAAATAAGGAAATTTTCTGAAAAACAGCCACAAAAATACTGAGACATGAGAAAAACGCGAAACTTCAGTTGCGCTTCGGACACGCGATTACCCTTGCCAGAGGCTTATGTGCTATCCACCACGCCAACCGATGCCCTTGCTTTACCTTTCTCTAAGCCAATTTCTTTACGTTCACGATGTTATCAGTATCTGGAAACACAAATTGTCATTGAACTCTGTTAGGCTGAAGGTGCAGTCGAAATAACAATTTTTTTTAACGCTTATGGGCAGTAAATAAAAGTGAAAAGCAAATTTTCTTTTTAACTGATCTTTAATGGAAAATCTAAAATTCACCTATTAATTGCGAAAAAATTAATGCTAAACTAAAAAATCAACACTAACCGTCGTGGAACACTTGAGAGATGTTTACCGGAACCTTTAGTTTTGGCCTTAGCGCTCCTGCAATAGGTAACAAGTAATGGAGTTGATCGTTTTATGAAGACTCTATTTTGAAAATTGAAGAAGAAAGGTAAAATCAACAAGATACATAAATAATATAATATAAAAATATAAAATACATAAATAAACCAAAGTAATTGTTGTGGTCTAGACAACAAAACCCACGTTTCCTTTTTGATTATTCTTCCCAGCAAACCCTTGTCAAATCAAAATTGAGATGTGAAACGACTTTTTGGAAGCAAAAATTTTAGAAATATGGAGTCGTTGTATATTCCTCTCTCCATTTTCCATTTACTACTCCATTCAGTTCAAAACTTTTCCATGCATTTCGATGTTCCAATCAGGACAAAATATGGATATTTGTGAAGTCAGAAAAGAAAGTGGGTAGTAGAAAACATTGTTTATAAAAGTAGAGAAAACTATAAGAAAGCACTAAAGCATCATTTAGGAACGCCTGTGATCAGCAATTGGAGCTCTGCGCATTTAATTGACCTTTAATTTTCCAACGTCTGCGACTTGAATTGTTATCAACTCATGCCGGCCGATCTGTACCCACGCTCGTACGATTCGTACCTATCTCCCACATTAGGAAGAACGTTTTTGCGCTGGTCTACTGATAAAAGGGCCACTAACACATAGCAGCCGATGTTGTTTTTTTTTCGACAACCGACCATGATTACTTGACCGTTAGAGTATTTGAGGCGTTGTTAACAGCATAGAATTGTTGGAAAAACTTTTCTTCATATCTATCTTCTTGATTTTTTATATTGTTTTCATGCAACACTCTTCTAGCTTTAAATATGAGACTATGACAACTTGTATCTTGTACGTAAAGAAATGTATCTTCCGGTGGTCTTCATTCTTACTAGTGAGGGTTAATATGAGCGGAAATGTGTTTATTTAAAACTGGAAGTGGTTACTATTTCCACATCAAATGCACTATATTCGATTCATCCGGGGCGTTATGTGTTAATCGTCAAACGACTTGAACGAGACGAGGCACCACAGTACACTCCTGATCTGTCATGTTTTCGCTTCATGCAGTCCTCAGACCAACAGTTGTTGTAGCACGACAAACACTGTGCTATAAATACTACAAAGATTAAAAAAAAGTGGTGTATAGGTATTCTTGTTGCTGAACTGCTACACGAAGCACGGATTTCCTCATTCTCTCAAAGTCATCTTCTACTGTGGGTTCTACAATATTTTACGCTAGCACTGACTAATGGGAACATTGCCAGTGTACATTACAGTGAGCTCCATGACACGGAAATGACAGGCAGAACATGTAAATTTGATACACGTCATAGTCTTAGCCGTTTGCTTTTGCAGTAGGTTCCAAAAAAAAATCAAAATTATTTAAGCAGTTGTACAAGTTGTAAAGTCCTACCCTGCAGCATTAGCTAATTGACCAGCTTTCTTGTCTCCAATGTACTCACTAGGAACAAACCGAGCACTGAAATAAATATGGAGGTATTTACAGTTTTTTTTTCAAAATAGAAAAAGTTTAAAGAACATCATTCATGAGCATCTTGCACCGTTAAGCCAACTGGGCCAAGTCAAGCCGTGTCAGCTCCAACTGCGTAACCTCGTGATAAACCTCTGGTTTTCAACCATCTGCTTAAAATGGAGAGACAAAATGTCTGTCTTATGTACGTGGTATGAGAGGTTGTTAGCGTCTTGGTGGACCGTTCAATTCTTTCACCCGTATTTCTGATAAGCATGTTAAGGTGAGGAAAATTGAGGAACAGAAAGAGCACAGACGGTTCTGAGTTTATTTTTTAAGGAACGCACCCTCAGTGTTTTCATACGTTCCTAAAACTCTCATTTATCCAGCAGTACTCCGGATCTAAGTCATTGTCCACTTCCCTACTAAAATGTGGTATATCCACATATTAGCTCACGTGAGCACTAACAGCCAAACACAGCACGCAATTTGATAGCATTGGGAAGGATGAGTAAAAAAAGTTTAGCAAAATTTCAGTGTCATTCAGATCTGTATAGATATGAAAGGACTAAGGTGTGATCTTACCCATAGTGAGAACCCGAGTCTGGCGCCTAAAGCTGAAGAGATGTGGATCAAACACTGTGATGATGAGACGGACGCTAAGCTCAGATTCGAACTCGTGATTGCCCTTTCCGGGAGCTCATATGTTACCCACGGCACCAATAAGGCCCTTCATTTGCCTTTCTCTCACTCAGTGTACACGTAGATCAATGCCGGCCTTAACAGCCCTCGTCGTTTGTACAGCCTCATTAAGCTACAACGAAAACAAGTGCGACGAATACTACATGGATTATGAGAAATTCTACAGAGAAAGCGATACCTTCTTTATGGTCATCATTGGCGATATCAACGCCAGAATACGACCTAAGAGAACGTCTGAAAGACTTGAAATCAGGGTCAGCGGGTTAGAGTGGAATGATCGGAGGTGTTGGCTACCTGACTTTATCACCACGACCAAGATCATCCGTGTTAGCCTGCAATTCCAGGAGCTTTGCTCTCAAAATTGACCGTAGGAGTCCCCCAGTGGAATGTACCATAAAAAGCACTCCACGTTATGCTAATTCGCAAGTTTCGCCTTTCCGATGTCGTTGTTGTGTCAAAATTTTACACGACGGCTAACCGTCTTTTTCCACATGAAAAAGAGGAAGTGCAAAAATTTAAGAAACGAGTAGCCCAGAAATACCACAAAATAGGACATGTTCAGATTGTTGGACGGCTTTTGGGAGGATGCCTTTATACAGCATCAATAAAGAATACGACTGTCCTATTCAACGTCCTCACACTAGCAGTAGAAAACAGCATAGTCCGAATGCCAGCAAGAAAATTCTGTCTCCAGAAATGGTTAAGCCAATGGGCCAAGAAGAGGCTGGGAGCCGAAAGCAATCATCAACTCGCATACGTGTTCTAGAAAGGTAGTGGGGAATATCAACCACGGCTACTAATCTGATCTCTTCAAAAGTCACATTCTTCTGCCTCCAAATGAAAACCGGTCCGCTAGTTTTTCTCTCTGCCTATACCAGCGTGACCTGAGCAACTACCACCCAGCCTGCTTGCTTTCTGTCGTCTGTAAACTCTTCACTAGAGTCATGTTAAACAGGATTAATAGAACACTTGACAAAAGGCAACCATGTGGGCTATGTAAGATTTTGAAACGGACTTAGCACGATAGCTCACATCTACGCAGAATTGAGACTCCTCGGACGAAAACGAGAATACGAGAAATCACATTATCTTCTTTTCATCGACTTAAGAAAGGATTTTGACTCAGTTGAGGCCAACGCGGCTATTGGGGCACTGCACAGCCAAGGCTTTGCCACTAAGTATACAAAGATCTCTCCTGAAATGTATGAGAATTTCACTGCCAAAGCTTCACTATTTCCTAAAGATATCCCTCGAAAAATCTAAGCAGAAATTGAAATGAAGCAACATGGACGCGAAAATCTGCTGTTGTGAATTACGCCGCCTTCACTTTGCTCACGAAAATGAAGTTCAAAGTGAATGGACTTGTTTGTGATTCTCCAAACTATCCATGTACTCGACGGAGACAAGTGGAGACTTTACTGCCTCTGACTCGATTCATTCGACGTTTTCTGGAGAACAGGTAATGAGATAAACACAAGTATTCAAGTATGATGCAAATGACGCAAAATTCACAAAAGCACTAGGGAATACCCTAACAACAATAAACACTCACGGTATCAACGGACGAGATTTTTCTGACTTTTCCTGGTTAATAATAGATTCCGACTTCGGGCACTCATGTGGCGGATTTACTACCTTTTTTTGCACCTTTTCTTTCACTTTCTTGTTCTTTTCATCAGTATTTCTTTGCATCGGAAGATTCACTTTGTTTATGGCTGCCATTCCTGGCTTTCGCTCCTTGCCTTTCTTTTCTTCGGATTCCTTATTAGAAACGAATCCCATGCTGTAATATAGGTAACGTTTCCACATCACTTTCACATCCCACAAAACATAGACATCACTGGATATAAAACTTTCTAAATAAAATTTTCTAAATATGAAGAAAAAAGTTGGCGCCAACTTTAAAAAGGGCAAATTTGTCCCTGTGTTTATCATTTACCACATAGACTTTATATTACAAATTGAAACACTATAGTATTCTTCGCAGGACGATGGTGATAATTGAGACATGAAGCTGCAGGTAGGTGCAAAACCAGTAAGGTTATGGATTATAAGACTGATTTCAGTGATCTTCGTTTACATTAGTCTTTCAGTTCATAACAGAACCAAGCATTTCAATGTTTTTAAGATTAAGAACTGGAATGTATATGATACCAATTGATTTTCTGTTCAAAACAAAGTGTAAATCCTTCCTAGTCATCCGAATTTCTTTACACCAACTCTTTGCTGCCCAAACTTTCATTCTATCCAAAATGCTCTCATTTTTAGTGTTCTAAGTACAGTTTCCGCCATTTCTTTTCAAACAGCTGCAATTTTCTCCCACTACACTTCGTTTTTGCTCATTTAGCACAAAACCGACATTTTAGGACATTTTAACTGTTTCTCAAAAACTTCAATTCAGTCCTATTCCAATGGTTTCCACCCTGCATATGAACGTTGTTTTATGTCCAAATTGTATTGCAGTTTTATCAATGAGATCAGTGCGTTTTGAGAAGTACAACTGAGACATTTCTTTTAGTATTGAGAGAGCTGTCGTTCCATGTTTTGCATTTCTTCTAGGTAGGCCGACCTATAGCCGAATTCGCCTCCATAACGCGAGATACAGATATTAGCCCTGGCACAAACTTAATTTCCTAATATTGTTCTCATGATTTGAACCATACCCTGACTAGTTCTTTTTGGAAAGTCTTCCATTTCATTAATATTTTTTATGCCAACGGAAACTTACTGTTGCAACACGGCGCTTTGCTCTCCAGAATTCGGTTTCTCCTTTTCTCTTAGCGCTTTCAACTCCTTCAAAGCATTTGCGAAATCCAGTTCACCTGCCTTATTATCTGCTTTCTTCGGCCTATTTATCTGGTTTGTTCCTGCTTTTTCTTGAACTTTTTGATTTTTACTTATGTTGTTGAGACCGGCAGAAATCCTTCCGCCAACTGAATCACCATCCGTTATTGAGCCAATGCATGAATGCGCTTCGTCGCTGTCATTCGAGTTCATTTCCATCCTTGAACATTTACTTATTTGTGAATTCGTTTCACTTTGTAACGACCTGCTTTCAATTTTGCTATCCTCTTCTAAGTTTCCTTCCTTTTTCCGATTTTCCTCTTCATTTTCTTCGTTCAAACACTCGCCTTCGTGGGTAAGTCTTTGTTTTATTTCTGATGAACTGCTGCCACTACTGAAAATATTGTATTCGTCTTCATAAGAGGTCATGTCAATGATTTCTCTTCTTGCTTTAAGCATGCACTACGTATGATGTCCCCTAACACGGCAATTCTATTCCAACGACTATTATACATAGTAGTATTTGTTCTACCGTAAAAATTGTTTTGCTACTCATAACAAGGAGTTATCTAGAATGATGTTCTGCGACATCATCCATGGAGTGGTATCGATTTCTATGCATATCGATTGATTGGAGGTATTTGCAAGCAATCAATGAAAAGACATCTGTGAATAATTTCCAAGGTTTGCAAGTTTTTGTAATGTTAAAACAACTTTTGCTAGTCCACTTAAACTGTCACGTTTTCAACTTCAATCAACAGAAACTACTCAAAAGGAGTTTAAATTACTACGGTTAATTTGAATGTAGATATTAATCGCATCAATACATAATTGATACTTGCTTGTGCAATCCGAATATTCTGGATATGCTAGCAAATATTAAAACTTTATAGGGTAGTTTTTTAATATTGGGAAACTCCGTAGAAAATTTTTTGAAAATTTTTTTTTACTACGGTTAATTTGACTACCCTAGAAATTTTTTTTTGTTAGAAAATTTTTTCTTATTGGGAGCTTTTTCCCTATTTTTACTCACACGAAACAGTTTAATATATTTCACAAATGTAAGCCTACACATAAGTCACGCAGATATCTAAAAGGGTCAAACATTTCAGCACAGCGATTTTATGAGAAAGTAATGAAGATCGTACAGTATACCTATCATCTTCTACCGAATCTAGGACTCGATCTGGTGCCCTTTTAGTTTGATTATTGCTCTTCTGTTTTAACTTGATGGATTTCTCCAAACCTGAATCATGTTTTTTCCTCTATTTCTGCTTTCTTATCTTTTCGCTTTTAATCCCAGCTCTGTGTTTAACTTAACCTATTCTTCCAAACCTCTAGCTTTTAGTGCGACCGCTTTACCGGTTCCCTGTCGGTCTCCTGTCGCCGTCATGCCTTCTAAACTGTCATCTGTCGCCGTCGTTCTATCTATAGTGTCATCATGTTTCTTTGTCGTTTCCTCCGTAACTTCGTCCTCTGTTCTTTTGACTTCGTCAATTGTGTCGGCTGATTTCATCCTTCCAACTTCAGATCGATCCACCTTCATCGGATTTTCTTCACCTAAATTTCACGATTCCGATCTAAAAGTACTTTAGTGAATACTTACAAAACGTCGCTGCCAATGTACAGAAGTCTTGAAAAGGTTTTGAGCGGCAGGGATGTTCTGCAATCCAATGTGGGTTTAGTCAGCAGGTACTTATCCAAACAAATTTATTAGGTTTTTCGGAAACTGCCGTCTGATTTGTGATTTTATTTTTCCTCGATATGTCTCAGTAAAATTGTTTTTTAAATGCTGTGCTTTTACCTATCACTGCAAAGCTCATCTTTTGCACTTTGGCTCCATATAAATAAATTGTAATACCACTTATGTTTCTTGACAATTTTCCGAGATTAGAATTTTAGATGTTAAAACAGCGATGTCGACTAATCTAGCTCTGCAAATTCAAGCTCGGACGTACGCAGCACAAACGGCTCAAGACATAAATGAGTTTTGACGCCAAAGAAGTGCCAATGAACAAGCGTGCAATGTTACAACCACAATGATGCTGAGATAATTGCAAAATTCCAGACCGCAGGTGTCTGAGGTGGGGAACGAACGGGTGCTAACGCGTTCAGTACCGCACCATGCGGGTCGTTCGTTTCACCTGTCTCTCATCTAGTCCTATCAATTAATATATACCATCAGTATTCGCCCATCAACGCGATTGATCTAGAGTGCCCAAATCGGCAACCAACCGGGTTAAGCTGAGGCTGTAGTCGAAATCACAATGTTAACTTTTTCTTTACTGCCCATTACAATTTTTCATGGCAGATTCGACTATAGTCTTAGCTTAACTGGTTTCGTTGCCGATTTGGGCTCCCTAGATCAATTCCGCTGATTGCTGACGGCAAAAGATCGATAGAACTAGCTGAAAGACAGGCGAAACGAAGGATCTGCATAATGTGGTGGTGAAAGCGTTAGCCCCTGGAATGGATAATAGAGTGTTTATTCTCCACCGCAGACACCTGTAGTCGGGAGTTTTGCAAATATCCCAGCATCATTGTAGTTGTATCACGTATACCCCGTCATAAAAAATCGTAGTAGGCGGTAAATAAAAATTTAACGTGGTGTAATGTTAGTTTCAAAAGTTTCCTCCTAGCGAGTTAGACCTTCGGAAAGGTTCTAGACCTACAGAAGGAGGAGTGGAAGCGAATACGTGCACAGCTCTTCAATAACTTCCAGAACTCTAAGTTGTTTCAAATGTTTTAAACCGTTTAAATAAAATGGAAAGTCGAGAAGCCTCAAGGAATGGATGCCGCATGAATTGAATTGTTATGAAAGAGATCGCCATTTTGAGGTATCGTCAACGCTTCTGCTTGCCAGAACAACCCGTTTCTCCACCGCCTTCTGATGAGCAGTGAGAACCGGATTTCCTACGACAAATGCCGTAGTTCGGCACAGATGTTGTATGAAGATCATGCTCTCCAACACTTCTTAAATTAGGAGTGGTACCGGAAAAAGGTCATGCCGGCCGTTTGGTAGTTCATAAGGCGCTTGACACATCACAGCGCACCAATACGTTCCACTGCTAACACAGCGAAAGTTGAACGAGGTTAATTTTTAAGGCATTTAAACGAATTCGCTTGCGAGAAGTACGTCGGAAAGAAATGTGAGGCTGGATCTATCTTCAACAGCTCTATCACCTACTGAAGACCATAATTTTCTGCGGCTGATATGAATCAGGAAGATTCTTTTTGGCAATGATTTTCAGACTTTAGTGGAATTTATTTCGATTAACAAAGTTTACCCAAAAACCTCAAAACCTAAGCGCGTACCCTGTGGATATTTTGTTAAGAAATGTGAAATAAAGTGGTTGACTGTTATTGCTAAGTGTGTATCTATGATAGGTTGGCCTCCCGCTAACGGTATTCATTCTGAGAAGGATTTAAACGCTTCCATCCGAACCTAAAGCTTAGTAGAGGGTAAACAAATATCAAGAATCGCCGTTGGCTTTGCATAAGTGTACGCAGGCTCACTGCAATAAGGCTTCGCTCATCCGTAACGGTTGAAAATGTCCTTGGTGAAAACCTGAGTGCACCTCAACGCGGTAATCCAAGGCACCGAAAAAAGAAGTTACTCAAAAAAGCCCCATAGAATTTGTACTTGTTCTTGTATGAAATCACTTCAAAATTCTAGGTATTCGCATAATGTGGCCATTTTTTTTACGCCTATGTGTTTTGTTTATGGTATACAATTAACATCCGAAGATTGGCTACCTTTCTTTTCCGTAGGCTCATTGTTGTCGAGCACTTCATATTTAGCTTCGTTTGGATTGACTTTGTCTTTAGGGTCTTGCCTGAACTATGTTTTACACAATATTGACTAATAAATAATTTGTTATTTCAGTATGCACCATAGCGGGCAGGTAACGTAGTGATTGTGGTGCTATTCACCGCGACCACGGTTCTAGGTCGACTTTGTCCCGAGTTCACCAAGCCTGTCGTCCTTCCGGGTTCTGGAAATTACTAGCGAACCATGTCTGGAAATAGCTCAACCCTTGCAATCCACGCGGGCTCCGACCCAGTGCCAAATTAGTGACGCTCAACGAAGATGAAAGCAAAATAACAAAACTCTGAATTGGTAATCCGCGTAAAAATGGAAGTTCTCTTTTAGGACTTCTAACCGCAGAAAACCTCTTCTACAAGACTTCATTTATCGAGATTAGAGAAAGTCGCTAATATATATGGGAGCTTCCTAACGGCACTAGTGCGGATAATGGAGATATCGTTCATACTGTCAAGAACAGAGAATGCTGCTTCTTTGACACTTCAGCGAGTCCTGGATTTCGTAATGGATCCGGTCGCCGCGTTTTCGGTTCAACCATTCGATCGAGATATAAGTTGAAAAAGAGCTCCTGTCATCGTCCAAGAAAAAAGAGACACCTCATGTATGACAAGTATATTCTTAATAAAATCCTCTTCTCATACGATTGGCATATAAAGGAAGATTCCGGTGGAAGACTACAAGCTGGTTGTCGAGAGGCTTAAAACTCTTGCCAAACTCTCCTCAGTTCCCCAAGCAAGAAGTTCAGACCGCATTTCTATTACCACCATGGAGTTGCTCGAAAAGAGAATGGAAACTGAAGCTTGAACCTTCTCAGAAACAGTGTACGGCTGATAATAAATGCAAGCTGTAGAAAATTTTCGCGGAAAGGTTTAGACCTGTAGAGGCACGAAAAGTTGTTTGAAGCAGCTCAAAAACAATGTTGTCTGAAGAGGTGCCGTTGGGATCTCTGCGAGCATATTGTTCCGCTTTCAACTCTGATTAACAAATATAGGACTGTTCATTTCGGCAGCCTGGAATACCAAGCACTAGTGTTTGGAAATATAGGACCATCATTACATCACGCCATGTTATAGAACTGATGAAAGAGAAACTCTTTCCTAATTTTTTTCGCTGTACAACCTCAGTCTCGGACCCTGAATTCTGTGCAGGTGAAAAATCTCGTGGGTTTCCACCCTCTGAAGTTCGAGTTACAATAGAAAGCAACATGAGAAGCACAGCTCCACAACCCGATAATATTACCACCGACTTCCATAGAGCTGGTGGCAACAAATTACATGTTTTTCTCGCAACCCGCATGACATCTTTACTTCAGAAAGGAAAAATCCCAGAACAGTGGAGAACTTCGTTTATTGTCATCCTGAACAGGAACGGTGACCGAAAGGATCTCTGTAACTATCGTCTGGCATATTTGCTGAGTGTACTCTACAAGCACTTCACGAAGATTCTTTTTTTGTGAATATCGAAAGCCTTAGATAAGGCACGACCAGCTGAAAATGCACGACCCCGACAGAGATTTTGCTGCATGAACCACATTCAAACCGCTCCGTAGCTTCGCATTACGTTTCCGTGTTCACGTTTTTCTTTTGATACCAATGACTAGTGAAACCAGGAGAGCAAAGACGTAGCAAAAGCAAACATTATTCAAAACATTGAATAAAAGCATAAAAACTGCCTCCAAGGTCACCTTTACATTTCTGGAACCTCCTGGAATCCACTCTAACTTTAGTACTAATGAAATGTTTATGGCAGTAAAGTTTTGTCCAGCAGTCAACGAAATATGCCATTAACTACAATGTTAGTTAAAAGGACTTGTCCTATTTAATCACAAGTACGCATTCACATTTCAAAAATGTCTGTCTAGCACTCAGCGAATACGAATTCGAGACCCTGCCTCGTGAATCTGCCATCGGCTTCAGATTATTAATTTTTGTGAAAATCTGCACATCTTCTTTTAGGAAAACAACGCTTAATTAGACAGTACTCAAAAGTCCTTTGATCCCTACTTTATCGCGTTCAATGATGCAAACGAGTGAACAATGATATTCACGAGCATGGTAGTGATTCGATCTCGTTTTAGGCTTACCAAGCCTATCATACTTACGGTGATGTTGGAAAACTGGTACCTGACTTGTCTTCGAAAAGTTCAATCTCTGATGTCCAAATGGGAACCTGCTAGCTTGGCTCTCTCGGAACCTCAGGGTGAACCGACTCGACCAGCACCCAATGACATTCATGGTGATAGGGAAATTCTTAATCAGCAGTCGAAGCCGCACGGAAAAAGCTCGAAGATCTTTTTTTTGGATAATGGATACGAGAAAACGAATCGAGCGTGAAATGTGCTTGGATTCGCGTAGTAGATGTGAAGGACAGATGGCGTAAAAAAAATGATGGAAACCTTTAAACGTATGCGACTACTTAAGCTTCGAACATGTCTTCTCAAGAGTACTTGCTTCATAAGAACTGCTATTGTTAATTCGATAAAGTAAAGTTCAAGGAAAGCTGGAGTGTTTTATGCTTTCTGCTCAAAATCGGACGTTTGTACTGAATAACATGCACTTTGATCGTTATTGAAGCGTCCCTATGGCTAAACTGGAAGGCCTGGCACAGGAGGACTGCTCACTTCTCAGACGAGGAGAGAAAGAGATTTCGAACGTTTGCATCATGCAACAGAATAGAGTAATTGTTCAATGTTATCGAATTCCAGGTGTTCTTACCTTTAAAACTTTGAAAAATTAATTATCGCACCTCCGACGGGAACTGATTCTTCTCCTAACGTTGCGAAATCCTATTGTGCATTTGAAGAGAACCAGTGCGTAGACCGCAGAAAGAAAAATTGTCGAAACTGTAAAAGTATGTTGATGGATATGCGTGATATGGTTCACTACAAACACCTCGGAGTGATTCTTCGTGACTTTTGGTCTCCGAACCAGACAACCTCCTTGTTTTACTAGTTACTAATTATTCCTAGTCCTAGAATTTTTGCAACATACAACTTTTACGCCACGGTGTTATCAGAGCAGTAGTGGCTCAATTAACGAGGAATACCGAAGTCATTCTTCAAATTTGTAGAATAAAATACCTCATCGCGCCCTGAAATTATGATACCCGGTCGGCCTGTGTGACCTTCGGTACAATCCTTTCAACGTCACACCTCTCCTTCTATATCCCGTTGGCGTAGAGAGTCTATTTGGCCGTTTTTATGTATTATAATTAAGAAGGAGCCCCTTAGAGATCACGAAGTACATTTTCGGCACCGTTCTTTAGGAAATATTTGAATTTCTTAAGTAATATAGATCATGGTAACAGAACATTGTGATGTTACGCAATTTACAGAGAAATGAGAAAATTGAACTTTAAAAATACATAAACCTTGAAATGTGATAATTGCACGATTAAAATGAAAACAATCATTTACATTAATCTGATAAATTCTGGAAGATATGAATCATATATGACTCATGTAACGCGGTGCCAAGAATAGCTCATCCCTCTAACCGACCGTCTTAAACCAAGCGTTGCTGTGAGTGTCTTAAAGTGTTCGTTAAGAGCGTGTAAAGCGGCATCCATAAATCACTTAGTATAAATTAGAAATCTTCAACAGTTGAAAAACAAGTTGCCAAAGATTTTGATAAATTTAGTTCTTCTACGTTGCAGTACACACTCGAATGACACGCAGCAAAAGAATCATAATTAGGTTACTACAGAACTCCCATATATCTCGGTTTGATTCACCGTATACGGTACAAACCTGACCTTCAACATCTGACCAGCGAAAATATTTCACCATTGACGAAGACTTGTTCCATGAAAATGGAACACCACCGTCTTCGTCTTCCGTCGCACTCACATAATGAGTTACACTGGTTGTTCTTGTTGTTGGTGACAAGTCGTTTATTTTTGTTGTTATCCACGAAAATAACCAGATTGTGAAAAAGATGAAGTGGAATCTGGATACGAGCAGTGAATGCTAACTGTTACTATTAAGTAGCTATTAAAATAGCATCCTTATGTAAGCCTGTCAATAAACCAAAACAACGACCATTCATACTTTGGTGAATTAAAAGTTTGATTTCTTGTATTGCCAGCCAACAGTAATCCGAGTGTTAAAGGATATAATGCCACGCGGAAACAAACGATGACGGTTGGCAAGGGCCCTCTTGTTCAAAGTGGAACTGTCGGTTAGGTCTGGACACATCAGGAAGACCAGAGTCCTGTATGAAAGGACATGGCCGTGTGAGGTCACTTCATTCCTGCGGTGCTGCACACTACTCGATTCGACTTGAAGAGCCAATTGTGAATGGGAAGTAACTGATGTGGAATCTCGACTCGAATCACCATGGCTCTGTAGAAGACGAAATCATTGAAACGTTAGCCATCGTGAAGATTTCTAACAACCTAGTGTAGACTTACCAATAAACCAGAACACTAACTGCTGAGTGTTACAATATTACTGTAAGAACTTCTAACACTAAAGATCTCAAGTTACTGCTTTGCTTGTAGCTACCATTTTCAACTGGACGACGTATTATAGACCATTTGGTAAAATGTAAGTAAAAGGCTAGGTAACGATTGACATTAACAGGCAGATTGTAGTAGGAAAGCGAAGGTGAATTTCGTTACAATGAATGTTTTGTGATAGCGCTTCTATTCCAAAAGACGGAAGGCCTTTCCTAGGAAAGGAAGAAGAATTGAAAGCTTCTCTTGATGTGGCTAATCTATTGTTAATTTTTATATATTCCACTTCACCGAATTGAAGATGGAGTCCGCTCTACACTAATAGCAACACCATTATTTTGTGCCAAGACTTATCCGTTTCGTTCGAGTTAACATTTTTGTATGTAAAAAAACTCAATAGGAAATCATCTCATTGCAGAAGAACTGAAGCTCGGTCAAAACGATCCGCTATCGAGCAGACTCGAACACTTATTTCAGAAGTTGTAGTAATCCCCAGAAGCGAATTTCTATCGACCTCGGCAATGATAAACACATTAGTGTTTTTTCCTTCAGCAAACACGAGGCTGTTAATAAAGGCCTCATTTAAACTGGCTGACGCTACGGCGGTTACGCCTTCTTCAAAGTCCAGAAAGGTCAAATTGGCACGCAATTTACAAACGCTTCCATAATCTCGACAAAAAGAAATCCAATATCTAAATTTCAATCGCTTGGTAAACAGCTAGCTTCTTTATAATGCTCACCGTTTTGTTCTTTCTACGCCTTCCACTATTGATGGACACTAGCTACACAGCGACCAACATGGGTGTGGAGTGCGCCTATCCTGGGCAGAAAATCAGGCTGAAGATAACGCGAAATCACCCATTATCACAAGACACTCTTCTTTGCTAATCACATTTAGACTTTTAGAATTTATCCAAAACACTGTAAGAGTTTTGCAAGCTGATCTTTTCTTGTGCAAGGATCACCGGTATCATTTGTAGTGCCGTCGGCCGCCGACTGACTCGAGAGACCGCCAGTAAATCTTCCATTTTTCCTTATCGTGTACAAGAATAGCCCAATAGGTTCTACTCGCTCTACGGACTCTTTGGGTATCATACCTTTCATCTAGGCTTATAGTGAAAAACTCTAGCCATCGCATTTGTGGTCTTCCTGCACTACGTTTGGTATCCTGAAGAATCCAGTCACTAACGGCTCTTCTCCGTCGGTTGTTGCTCACTACCTATCCGACCTACCTTATCTTAAACAGTTTGGCCTATCGAACGGCATCATTGATTTTTGGCCGTTGACACATGTCGGAGTTTCGGAACCTTTGCCTTACTCGTGCGACACGAGATACTCTTAGCATCGTCGTTTCGACTAGGCGTTCAATAACGCTGAGTGATCTTTCATTCTACTTACGCAGCAAGCAAGCAGGTTTCTAACGTATACATTAGGAGAGGAACTATCGTTGAGTCGAAACGGTGGACACGGAGTTGTGTTTTTTTGTTTTGTTCACTACTTCCTCGATGGTCTTAAAATCTCCACAAACTGCTCATTTCTTTCAGCTCAACTCTGGAGCTAAGTTGTTCATCACGTTGATTTCCCGACCTAGGATGTAACTGAGGCATTCGAAGACGTTCACTTCGTTGAGCGTGAATGAGGCATACATAACCATGCCGTTCCCCATGAACATCGTTCTTGTGGGATATAGTCGAAGGCCAATCTTTCCACAGGCTTTATCAGAGACGGCAAACATTCGTGAAAATTCAAAGAAATCATGCAGTTTTGTGCTGTACACAAACAGTCATAGAAGTGGTTACGAACTAGCTTATGCCTTGGAGCGTCCGGTGGTATTTCAATCACTGCTGCCGAATTCCCTAGAGAGCACTTTTAAGCGTCGCTTTATACCTGAAGGACGTTATCCTCGCTATAATTTTCGTTTAGGGTTGTCTTTTTACCTCTAAACCTATTCTGAGGAACTATCGTTTTATAGCCATTGAAATGGATTATTTCCACACCAAGCACAGGAATTCTTTTTTCTGCTTTCATCCTGTGCATGTACTGGAGCTGTTAAGGGACCTTTTTCACAAACCACTGTTTTGCATGTAAACGGTAAGAGGTGAGGTAATGAACCAGTGTTTTTGTTACCTGACTCTCCGTACCACTTCGTGAGGTAGAAGTTCTTTGGACAGGTAAATACGAAAAATATGGTCATCTTATCACTTCTATTCTATTACAGCGAGCAATAGCCATAGTATTGGAGAGAGAAACGCAATGCAAGGGCCCAGTCGATGTGGTGGAGCACATAAGGTAATCTCCTAAGGGTAATCGCGGGTGCGACGCCCTACTAAGGTTCTGTATTTTGCTCATATCGCGCTATCTATATGGTTGTATTTCACCTAACACCCTGATATGAAAAAAGATTAGGTAGTAAATAAAACTTAGAACATTATAACTGAAACTACTACAAAGACACTGAGATATTTGGAAAACTCCGGACCGCAAGTGCGTATGGTGGGGAACGACATGCACACGCAATACCCTGCCGTGTAAATTGTAATAGGCAGCAAATAAAAAGTTAACGTTGTGATTTCGACTATAGCGTCAGCTTTACTGAGTTTTTCGCCGATTTGTGCTCCCAAGATCAATCCCGTTGACAGGTGATTGCTGATGGCACTGATCGATAGAACTAGTTGACAGACAGGCAAACGAAGGACCCATATGGTGTGGTGGGGAACGCGTTAACCCGGGGAAAGATAATAGCTCGTTCTTTCTCCATTGTAGAGACCTGCGCTCTGGAATTTTGCAAGTATCTCAGCATCATTGTAGTAGTTTCATACGCAATACACTGCCATGAAAATTATAATAGGCAAGAAATAAAAAGTTAACATTGTAACCGAAGTTGGAAGTAATCAATGAAAGAGTAACAGTAAATAGAAAGCTAGCTAAGAGACAGATGAATCGAAGGACCCGAATGTTATGGCAGTGAAGGCTTTAGGTCCCGGAAAGGGTAATAGTGCGTTCGTTCCCCACCGCAAACACCTGCGGCCCGGAGTTTTACAAATACCTCAATATCGTTGTGGTTGTATTACACATAATACCCCGCCGTGAAAGAATGTAAAAAGCAGTAAACAAGAAGTTAACATTGTGATTTTCAACTACGGCCTCAGCTTAAGGTTTCAATATCGATTTTGGCCCACCATATTAATCCCGTTGATGGGTGATTGCTGATGGCACTAATCGATAGAACTGGCTGAGAGACAGGAGGAACGAAGGACCCTCATGGTGTTGTGAGGAACGCGTTAGCCCCGGAAGGGGTAATAGCACGTTCGTTCCCCGCTGCACACTGATTTAGTGATTACGCCACGCTCTTGCAAATTTTTTTCCTACATTGTTGAAACGACTCACAATTCCGCTTAAACGATTATGTATAAAACGATAAGCTAAATAAAGAAAATAATCAAGGCGAGTTTGAATTTACACGATTTATTTGAATATAGATGTTGACTCGATAAAAATCAATATTCGACTGATAGTTGCTTGGACAATCTGAATATTCGCGCTCATATAGAATTCATTCAAACAGCTCAAACTAACGCGAACAATGAAAATTTGCCGTAAACACTTCGTATGTTGATACGTAAACGTATCAACGTGGTTCAAAGCGAACGCTTTCTATGATCTGGTCGGCTTTTCTGTCTTTGTTCTCGTTCCTCTGCTGCACTTCCTCATTTCTTCCAACGTCCTTCTTGATAACACCGTCTATCTTGCCGTATTTTCCGTAATTCTCTCTATCGTTTTCAGCAGACATCTTTACATCGTTTAGGCTTGTTCTTCTAGTCACAGCGGCCGTTTCTCCATCTTTTAATATCCCTTTCTGTGCATCACATTTTCTATCCATATCATGCTCTTTTTTCTTAAACTTCCTAGAAAACCGTCCACTAAGAAAGCTGCTATACAAATTAGTGATTTATTAAAATTGGCTTTGTTTAGAAACCATGAAAATCAGAAATAGTTACAGTGTGTTCTGCTCGCTGTTAAAAACCAATTCACTAAGACAGTGACCATCTGGCCTTCTTTGGCGTTAATTATTCACAAGAAAAACACCTTTGAAGATTAATTGAGATTTAAAAACGAAGATAAATGCCGCCAAAAGCGCCTTGATTAGCTATCAGACGATCCGCTTGACGTTCGCTGTTTACTAGCTCCTCTTCCATCTCTAATTTTTTGAAAGACATTCTTTCGTTCGTGTATTTTAACCCTTCGTTTTTTTTTTGATGAAAGTTTAGAGGTGTTTACGAAAATCTGTCATGAGTGTTCGAATCCTA